TAGGGGGGGCCTCGAGCACCCCCCTGCCCCTACCTGGCTACGACCATGTATATGTATGCACATAGCATTGATACGTTCATACAGTCGTATTACTCTGTGAGAGAGCCAAGGCGAGCCACAGTGATGCTGTGAGGAGCCAAAAATAGCTCACTGCTCTACTGGGTGCTTATACCATTCGAATGTCTACCGAATAGATTCATTTTGATTTTACAAAAAACTGCAGTTTATTAGATTTACATGTATGAATTATGGTTGCGCCTCAATTCCATGGGACTGGTTAGTTTCATAGACAAAATTGAGAAGTTCCTTTTTTAACTCTCTCAACCCTTGCCAACTTATCGTGACCCAAAATGGCTGAGTCGTATGTAGGTTAAAGTGAACTTAGCATCTATGAAAATGATTAATAAATGTTAACTATTCTTTATTTTAATGATAATTACCATTACACCGTGCGACAAAAACAAAAAAAATTTCAAAAAACACGAAAGAATCGATATACTCATGAAACTATGGGCCAAATATAGTAAAACTGCGTTTTTAGTTTTTCACTCTGACGTCAGGATTTTTTTTCAAAAGACTTGGAAATTTTAAAGGTATGATTAATTCAAAAAGTAAAAAAAAAAAAAATCAGTGCAATGAGAATAAAAATATGGGTATCTAATGAGAGAGAAAATTCTGTGGAATTTAAAACCAATAAAGCTTTTTAGTTTAAAAGGGCGAATAGGTATTGAAAATGTGCTTTTAAAAATTGTTTTAAGTTAATACAGTTTACAGGACGAAATTCGATGATAATTGCAAATTTTCTGGGCTATTTAAGGACAAAATTTGTAAGGAACATTTTCCATACCAATTCGTCCTTATGCCCAAAAAAATTTATTCTGCTATAATTTTACAGACTTTTTTCTTTTATATGATACCCTAATTTTTATCCTACATTGCACTGAATTTTTTAAATATTTTTTTTTAAATAATCATATTTTTTAAATTTCAAATTCCTTAAAAAAAAAAATCCTGACGTCAGAAAGAAAAACTAAGTACGCAGTTTAACTGTAATTTACCCATAGCTTCGCTAATATATTCAGTTTTTTGCGTGTAAAATTTACTGTCGCACGGTGTTATCAGTGTTGTCCTCCGCGATAATACAAATATGATTTCTTGCCGAAGATTTCCACATTTTTATGAAATTGTTTGCAAAGTTTCTTTTAAACCTTGACCATAATGTTCTTCAGGCAGGAAAATCAGAGCGATCAGGCAGGTGCTTTTACTTGAAAGGCTCCTCAGTGTTTAAAAATTTTGGTAGTTTTCCTTTATCGCGGGAACAATTTTACTTTTCACCAAGCACATACACTTTATACATATGTAGGTAGTTAGTTAGTATTGATTGAATTTTTCTATTGGGTTTGTGAGACAAAATTATAAAATAGATTTTTCAAAAAATATTAAAAAAAATTAGGAAAACGATTAAAAAATTTCAGCAAACAATTCACATTTAAGCATAACCAAATTATTCCAAATAAATTTAAAAGCATGTTTTATTTATCTAAATGTTAAGTATTTCTGTTTTACATTCTACAAATAAACAAAGCGACCCGTTGTAGTATTGAAATTTTACACATAATAAAACACAGAGCAAGATATTAGTGTATTTTTAACAAGTCAATTATATATTTATGAGCCTGTTTCTTATATGAACAAAAGAAATATCCTTGAAATTTCCTATATCGGTTCGCACTAATGTACATATATAAAAGTAGTGTTTTAGTGTATCTATGTATGTATGTTCCACAGCTGTTAATTTTTTCTCCTACAATTTTTCTTAATAAGCGGTTAATTAAACTAAATATATTTTTCACATAAAATATGAATTTCTATTGAAATTTGTTAACACTTTGCCCTTTTTTCTAATTTAATGCATTCAGTACTCATACAAGAGCCTGGAATGGAGGTAATTTTTTGCTAGCGTATTTGCTTTAGGGTTTCCATAGAGCGATTTAGAAATAAATTTTTTTTGTTTTGATATCTTAAACATACATACCTTCCTTCTTTCTACTCAATTTAAGGACGATATCAGCGACGATGGTAATCCGCCACCATCGCTGCCGCCACCGGCTTTAAATGTCGGCACCAGCAAGGAAGGTAATTCACTAAATTTAGGTATGGCACAAATAATTGTTACTGCCGCAACCCCAATGGTTGAAGACGGCACAGATAAATCTTTCCCTCCGGTAGGAGAGAGTGATGGCGGCAGTGCAGCTGAAGCTGCAGCAACAGCGAAAACTGCCAGCGGCGGCAATGACAAGGCTGTAAAGCAGAAAAAAGTGGAACCCAAACCAGTGGCACCAGCAGCAGCGGCCGATGAAAATGAGAATCATGAAGGTAAATTGGGAGAAGAGCAGCTCTTTTACAAGGAAGGTGTTGCAATGGAAAAATTAGGAGAAAGCATTGGTATATATAAATGGGTCAATCCATTTCAAACCAACCAACCAATGGTTGGAATCGACCAAATATTTGATTTGGTTGCATTTCGGTCTAAACTTTTATTTTATCAAAAAACGAAGTTCTGGCAAAGAAAAATATTTTTTTCGAAATTTCTCGTAAAATTCTAAATTTCTCAATTTCCGGGATTTTGCAATTGTTTTTTTTCTAAATCTCAAAATTTATGTATTTGTTATAGTTACAAGAACGGTTATCGTATTAAGGGCTATAAAAAATAAAATAAAAAAAATCCAAAATGCAAAAAAATCGTAAGTGCGAAAACTGACAAAATCGAATATTTGCTAAATTTTTTATAAAATACTTTCAACTTATCTTAAAAGATCCTGAAATTTTCAAGAAGATGCTATTTTGGATAAAAATTTTTGAACTTTGAAATTTTTTTGCAATCTCTAAATAAAATTACGTTGAAATTCTTAAATTTATTTTTAGTTTAAAGTTTATGACAATAAATTTTTTTTTCAAAAATTCACATCTTAAAAAAATACGTTCATGAAAATTAAGGCTACTTTTAAGATCAGTTAGAGGCATTGTACAAATTAGCTAAAATTTTTAAATAGGTAAATTTTTGATTTTACGTGTTTTAAATCTAAAATTTTTTTATATCTCGAATTTTTTTTAAATATCGAGCCCTAACCGCCAAAATAACGTAAGCGACATTTTTTTCAAAATTTTATTTTCGATGCAGAAATATTCCTAGAGCATCTAGATGCATTTCTGCATCAAAAATAAAATTTTGAAAAAATTGTCGCTTACGTTATTTTGGCGGTTAGGGCTCGATATTATTTTTTTTATTAAGGTCAACTCTAAAATTAGGCCGGAACCATTTTTGTAACTAAAACAGTTTTTGAGACATTCTAAAAATAAAATTGCCAAATCTTGGAAATTTTGAAGTTTTGAAATATTTTTTTTTTCCTTTGGCAGATTTTTGTTCTTTGATAAACAAAAGTTCTGACCAAAATTCATCCAAATCGAAAATGGTCAATTGCAAACATTGATCGATTTGACATGAATTGCCTGAAAATGGCTTTTATGTTTTACTCAGTAGTTCAATTAAAAATAAATATTGGTGTGTAATGAAAATGGTTATTTATACTAGTAATATTTGGGGTAAGAACTTGGTTTTAAAATTTCTAATACCTTTGCAGACGACACACACTCATCCGATCAGGATCCCGACTCCGAGGTAAAAACTCTGCAGGAAGCCGAAGATCCATTCAATGAAAAGGGCAGCGGTGATGCTGGCGACGGATTCGAGGCGAATTTCGAAGCACATTTCGATGCCAACTTCGATGATGCTTTCTCCGGCGGTGCACAATCTGCCGACATCAATGCCGAGCTGAGCGCTGATGATGTACAAACACCCAAGCAGGTGGTGGGCGGACGTGCAAGCATACCTGAGGAATTGGACTCAAATCAATTGGCACGATTGCAGAATCTAAAAGAGTCAAATGCTTAAACGCAGCAAATGAATAAAAGTGAAAAGCGTGAATGAGCAGTTGCATTTAAATACAAACATAGTACTCATAAAATACAGCAATGAAAATGCACAGTGGCAACAAAAAAACAAAAGAATATTAAAAGCGGATATGCAATGCGAAAAGTACAGCTGCAACTGAAAAGAAAGTTGCGAAATGATTGAAAAAAAATAAATAAAAAAAAGTACTTGTTGTACATACATACCTACCTACATATATACAGTTTGTAACAAAATTGAACGTAAAAAAATTTGTGAAGGCATATTGGTGGTGAATTTTGCATTTGTAAATGAAAAGCTTTGCCAACTAAGAGTCTTGAACGAAATTTTGTCTCCCCCCAAAAATTAGCATGTATGTTGGCAACTCTACCAACCAAAGGCTTCTACATAGTAACTAAAATGCTTCATAGCACACAAATAAAATAGATATTAATATTAAGAAATCTCACAGAAGTACTTAAAAGTGGAATGGTATTTAAAAATTGTTAATGTCATACTCGTATTTATATATTGTGTGAACGCAGCAACTTGACTGTGCTTCATTGGAATATCCAGATACCCGAAACACAAGCTAATACTCATACATATACATATATGTAAAACCTGCATAGATATACTTACATATTAATATATACAACTCCACTTTAATTGAACTATAATTAGGGGAAATGTTGCAACTTAATCTAAGTAAGTTAAAAAGTACTCATTACCTTTGTATTTTATTAATTTGCGTATAACTACTTTAGGGTGGTCCTTAAAAATATCTATATCGTAAGTTTGTATGGGGTACCAAATTAGTTTGTTTTACGTGCAAAATAAAAACCTCCCAGAAGACTTTAAAATTGTAAAAAAATTTTGGTGTCGCTACCAGGGTTCGAAAAAATTTATAAAAAAAAAAAAATTCCCAAAAATTCGGCAAAGTCTTGACTTTGACCAGCTATAATCTGGCATATTGAAACTGACTTATTTATTAAAAATTCATAAACTCGTTGAGTTATAGCTGGTCAAAGTCAAAACAGTAGCTACACTTGAAAAATTCTTTTAAATTTCTTACAATTTCTGGGTGCCTTTATTTTGTACGAAGAACCAAATAAAGGGGCGCCCCATGATGTTGATATTTTGAGGACTACCCTAATATACCCACATATATTTATATTAGTAAATTATGCACATAACTACAGTGGCATGCGAAGACCGTCAGCAAATTTTTTTTCATTGCTCTTTTTGTTGTATTTTCTATTATAAAATTTTGAAAAGAAAAATTAAAATTTTTTGTTTTGCACACAACTGTAGTTTTGGGTGTGTTAAAAATCACAAAAATGTACTTCAACAAATGTGCTTAAATATAGATATTCACACTTAAAATACATACAAACAACTATAAATTTATTTGTACACATATCGATACATACAGTGCGTGTACTAAAAAAAACAACTGAGAAAAAAAAAAACAAAAACGCCGATCTCTAGTAAAAGCCGAAAAGCCGCAAAACAACTAACGAAAATGCAATAAATACGAATGAAAAGCATAAAAACATTTAGTAAGAAAGAAAACAAAAAACAAAAAACAACTGCTACAGTCAATTGTTGTTTTAAAATTTAATAGCCAAGTACCTTCAGTGAAATATTCATTTGCCAATAGTTAATGCATAAATACATATGTACTTATAAACGTAATTGTATTTATATGTAGAAGCAGAAGCTAGTATACTAATTACATAAAAGAGCAGGTATTACTTAGTTTTGTTATTAACAAAATATTTAAATAAATTGTTAGCGAAATGTATGTAGACACATTTAGTTTAGGTTTCGTTTATACAAGTACATATTTAGAAGCCAGCTTTTCTTTTGGTTAAATTTAAATGTAAGCAGTTCGTTTAATAATTTGGCTACACTGTGCTTCGCAAAACTGAAAGCAAGAAAAAAATATTCAGCCTCATTGCGTAAAACGTAAATTAGGCTAAATTGTATGACTCGACCACATTGCTATTGTCTACTGTCGTGCTAAAATAAGTAAACGACGAAAATCGTCGAAAACTATACAGTGCTGCCAAGTTTTTCCATCTCAACACACTAGTCAAGTGGAAATTTTAGGCAATGACGCGAAATTTTCGATACGACTCGACTATCGAAAAACGACTTGCCTTCGCCACGACTGTCACATGAGGGTGATTAAAATTACTCGATTTTCAAGCCAACTGTGCTCGTTCAACAACAAATTGGAAATAGCACCCTACGGTCGTCATTATCCTACAAGGATTTAAGTGGCAATTTTCACTAAAATTATTTGTTTAAATCGTCACTTTTTTAATCTTAAAAGTGTCAATAAGAGCCTTTTGTAATGAAGACGATACAAATATTGTTTCTACACTGCCCTTTGTTTGGAAAAAAGTTATATAGACTACATTAGTCCTTCAACAAAAAACACAAAAATCGGAGTGGCGAACTTTGTGCAAAAATTAAGAAAATTCTGCAAATTTTCATAAAACGGTTATAGTTTTTTTTCACATATATGTACTGGGATTAATTTGGGTACGCAGTTTTGTAGCTTATTAAATTTTGGTAAATACAGGCCAAGTTTGAAGTCGCTAAGACTTACCGTTTATTTTTGAAATTTTTTTTCGTTGAAGATGTTGCTAATAAATTCGTAATTTATTTATCAAAATTCAATAAACTACTAAACTGCATACCCAAATTACTTATCTATACATACATATGACAAAATTGTAACAGGCCGATGTCTGTACTTTATTGATATTAAAGAAAAATTAATATAGGGGGTCTTTATTAGAGCAATAGAAGCCAAATGAAAATTTTTTAGAATTTTTGTCTATCTGTATGTTTGTAGGCGCGTCACTCGATGTATTACTGGACACTAAACTTAAAATACAGAAAGAAAAAAAAATAGAGAGTTGCCACTTGTTTGAAAATTGCAGTTTAAGTAAATTGATAAGATAAAATAAATATTGAAATATGGCTGTCAAATGAAAAAGGTTTAAGAAAGATTACAGCCGAAAATATTTTTGTGGAGGTTGCCACATGTTTGAAAATTTTAATTCAATTTATTTGATAAGATAAATTAATTAATTATTGCAATATGGGCATCAAATCGAAGAGTTTTAGGAAAGTTTACTTTCGGAAATATTTTTGAGGAGGGTTGCCATCTGTTTGAAAAGTTTCAATTAATTAAATAAATAAAATAAATGAAATATTAAAATACGGGCATCATACAATGCAAAAATTCTTTTAAGGCGCAGTGACGCACGCCGGGTATTTGCTAATATGTAATAAAAAACACAAAAAAGGTAATGAACATTTTAAAAATTTTGCACAAGACTACCAACTCTGATTTTTATGGGCTTTGTTGAAAGATGGGCGATATTTTTATTAAAATATGCAGCTTTTTTTTATACACAGCCGGAGTTTTAACGCAATTAATCAGTGCCCCTATTTTACCAGTAGTAAAACTTGACTTGCCATACACCGATGAAAATTTCCGGTGTGCGTGAATGTGTTTTGATGGCCAAAGAGCTCTAAATTCAAAATTAAAAAGAAAACATGAAAATTTAAGAAGCGCAATTCGAAATCTGATGCACGAAAATAGGCTATATTCCTCCGGCGTCGTTGCATACCATAAGGCATAAGCGATTTCACTAGCGATTCCCACAATTCTACTTCTTTTTCTTATTTGGCACTACAACCATTTGTCGGTTTGGGCTGAGATCAAAGAGCTTCGCCAGTTGCCACTCGCCTTTGCGGCTTTGGTCTTTCTGGTCTTGGTTGGTGTGTTCGCGGGCGCCTTACAATCCTAATGTAGAGTCTATAAAGGTACATACATATATATAGGCAAAAAAATATGTAGTTCTGTATGCTAAAAAATAATATTTTTGACATATCTTTCAAAATTCAGTGTTGCCCCTTTTGGTAGAGTTTATTCCCTTTGGTAGTTTTATGAGTGTCATGAAAATGGGTATAGGATATAATTTTAAGCGCAATTCAAGTCTCTCAATGCTCGTTGAGTCTTTGACTTTAAAATTTCCCCAGACGGGCCAATTCATTGTCATTCGACGAAATCCATCATATCAATCAATTTTAAATTTTTTATTAGTTATAAATTTTTGCATTTCAGCGACGATGTTTGTTTCGTTTTTTTGCATTTCAGGTGACGATATATAGGGCCTTTATTCTATACCTTCCATCTGCATCAGAAACTTGTTTCTCATATTAGAATCCGTCTGGGACTGTCATTACTGATGTGCATTCAAACTTTGCAATCAATAGAAAAAAGCGATTATAAAATTTCAATGAATTGACCTACCTCCTAACACTGATCTCATTTTACTGCCTTCAATATTAACTCTGACTAGTAGTCGTAGCTGTAGTCAACCTTTGTTTAAAAGTTCCAAGTTTATGAAGTTGGTACCTTTATTAAACACTTTGGGCTTTGTTAGAGGAGATGTTTCCATTGGATGGATTGTAATCCTTGGTGTTGTCAAAGAAATCTTACTTATATTAAAACCAGTTAAGATACTATTCACCGTTGGAAGAAGTTACCTTAATTAAGGTTTCCTAAACTAGAATCGATCTAGGCTGTTAGTCCAGGAACCTTTCTCTTCACCAAACTAATTGTTTCTTACTACGACTATAGTTTATCATGTTGTTGTTGTAACAGCATAAAAAATTCCCCAATCAGTTTTTGGGCCTGTTGCTGAAGTGACAGTGCTTGGCCAAATGTACGTCTGGGTCGTTCCGGTTACGTAGACCCGGCTAGGGCCGGTTTTGGTACTTCCACAGTAATCTTATTCCAACAAATTTTGGCAGACACTCAACCGAATTAGAACTTTTTGCATAGAGAAATCCGAGCCGAATAGCTTCCTGCTTCTCTTAGCCCATAAGGGACTAAAGACGGAAGATTCAAATACGTTCAAAGCACCACTTACAACACTTATACTTTGAAATATTTTACTGGATAGTTTGGTAAGAAAACCATTTTAGTGCCCCTTTTTGTCAAACCATTGAAACCGTTGTTTAAATAGTTTTCTATATGCCTAATATAAATATTTAGTGTCCATTATATAGAAAAAATATAGCATATTCTAGCAAACTATTTAAAACAAAAAAAGTGTTTTTTTTAGAATATTTTTTAGTGGCTGATTTTATTACTTACTTCATTCAAAAATAGTGTAAAGGCAGTGTCTCAACTGCTGAAGGTCAAAAAAATGTA